GACCAAGACAGCAGTGCACAGAGGAGAGACAGAAGACTTTATAAGATTTTTAGGGAGGATGCTCTGGAACAGCCGAGGGAGAGCTAATCTTGGCAGGCTACCTGGTCCGTGGGGGACCATCAATGTTAACAAAGGAGAGTTTCGTGGTTGCTTGCCCAGGTCAGAGTCAGGTGGACCTGTTCTGTGGTTTTGGGTTTGGCTCTGTGTGGTGCCAAGGGAGAGAGAGTTTGCGGGCAGGGTGCCTGGGAAACCAAGAGGGAGAGTGTTTGGGGCAAGGAGCTTGGGAAACGTTGAATCGTGACCTATCATTTTCATAATCAGGAAAAACAAAAAATCAATTTCCATTCTGTAAAAAGCCAACAAGTTTTTGTCTGCAACCTGTGCTCAGCAAACTACTGAGGAATAACTTAGGTTTTACAAAGACCCTTGAATTCTCCACCAAGCCCAGTTATGTAGAATAAATAAATAATATGCTTGTACACGTGTCTGCTCAGACACATGCAAATACTATCCTTATGTATATACATAGTGGCTTTAGTTTGTCATATACTTTCAAATGGAGATTAAAAATGTGGGTATTATCATGTAGAGGACCGTGGTATTTCAAACATTAAATTCCTAAAGCAAAGGTTGGGATCTAGTACCTTGAGTATCTTCTGTACAGTTTACATCTTCTTTGTTTCAGGGGAGACAGGAGGAAATACATAGGGAAACTGGGAATTCAAATATTAATAAAAGTTAATCTGAGAGTCTTGCTTCCTGGAAAAGATAGTTTATCAGGATGAGAAAGTGTGGAAATTGAGTTGATCTAAGATATTCTCTTCTGGAAGGACAGTGTTAATCTCCCCTGCATTGCCCAGGACAAGGCCCCACCCTCACCCACAGGCGATGGCAACACTTCAGCAGGCCAGTGGGGTTGCAATACCTGAGCACTAACATTTGTGTTAAGGCCAGGCTGGTTTCCAGTCCACAGGAAGACCTTGGTTGGGAGGGTGCTCAGGAAAGGAAGGGAGACAAAGTGAGTAGCTTTCTGTTTTGCCAAACTGCCTCAAAGGTCAGCACCTCCCTTCCTTTTCTTTGTTCCTTCGAGTCTTATAATGTGTTCTTTGTCCTCTCCTACTTTTATAGCTTACTGTCTCCCACAGAAGTACCCAGGCCACACTCTATGTAGGACTCCAATCATCTCATTAACATGCTAAGAGCCGCTGGAGCACAAACCAGAAAACTAAGACATTTGCTGAGTGTTTACCCAACACCAAAGGCCTACGATTTTTCAGGCATGAAGAATAGTCACACTGACGAATAAGATACAATCTCAATCCCTTTAGATACATATGACTTTCAGGTGGAAAAAGCAAAAAGCAAACCCCACAACCTGATTTGTTTTAATGAGCATGAAGTTTTTGTTTTAAAGGTAAGAGACGGTGGCCAGGGAGATGGCTCAGTAGAATAAGTGCTTGCCTGGCAAGCGCAAGGGTCTGAGTTCAATCCCCAGTTCCACCACAATAAATACATAAATAAATTAATAAAAAGGGGGCTGTGGAGATGGATCAGTGGGATAAGTGCTTCCCTGGCAAGCTCAAGGGCAAAAAATAAATAAAAACAAAATAAAGGTAAGAGACGGATCTGTGAGATGAGTGAGGGCTCTGCTGATTTGCTTCTCCCTTGTACTTTGGCTTGTATCTAGGACTCACCTAGCCCATCTCTGCTCCTGGAGGCTGGAGCTGAAGCTCAGAGCACTGGCCAAGGAAAGACAGTACTTAATACTTACTCAAGGATAGGTGAAGGGGAAAGGGAGAGAGGTTGTACTATAGTAAAAGCAAATTAGGTTCTTGCCAAATAGATTACATCTGAATCCAGTCCAATCTGAATCCAGCTGCCAGTCGTAGGAAACATAGAAGAACATGCTGACATATACAGTGATCAGCAATAAGCAAAATCCAGACTGTGGAAAATTCCACAGACCAAATTATGTGGGTGTTCAGTAGCTAAACCTTAAGGGAAGGAAAAGAAGAGGATCCTAGACATTAGAACAGACTCAAATGCATCAAAAATTCTAAGGTCAAGAAAGGTAGCGAAGGCCAGGAAAGTGCCACAACTCAGAGGAAGAGAAGCAGATTCGATGATTAAATGCAACCCGGAATCCTGGTGGGATGCTGGAACAGAAAAAAGGTATAAATAGAAAAACTGATGTCATCCAAATAAAATCTGAAATTTGGTTATCAGAAACTCACCAATATTTGTTGCTTAGTTGTAATAGATATGCTGTGGTTACATAAGGTATTAACATAAATGGGAAACTGGGAGAAGGGGATAGGGAACTATCTGTACTATCTTTGCAGTTCATTATCTAAAATTATTCCAAAGGGTTGGGGAGGTAGCTCAGTAGCTCAGTGCCTACCTGGCAAGCACAAGGTCCTGAGTTCAATCCCCGGTATCCAAAAAAAAAAAAAAAAAAAAAAAGAAAAAAAAAAGTATACCACTAATCTTGAATGCTCCAATTAAAAAACATTTTGGGGCTGGCCAGATAGCTCAGCAGATTAAAGCACCTGCTTAGGCAGACGCAGGAACCAGGGTTCGATCCCTGGAGTGCTGTGCTGGCCCAGCCCCTGGGGGGCACATGGAGAGGGCAACTGAGAATGGGGGTGGTGGTGCATGCCTGCGATCCCAGCACTTGGGAGGCTGAAAACAGGAGAATCACTACAAGTCCGATCTGTATAGTAAGACTCTGTAGACCCTGTACTAAATACATTTAAAAAAATAAAAATATTCCAAGATAAAGAGGTAAAAATAGAGGTGGAACAACTAAAAGGCATATCAAATTTTTAAATGGGCAAGACTAAACTACTAATAAGGGAAATACATTTGTGTTAAAAAAATAGAAGTTGGGCATAATAACACATGCCTGTAATCTGAGAACTCTAGGAGGCTGAGGTAGGAGGATCACAAATTGGAGCCCAGACTGGGCATCTTAGTAAAACCCTGTCTCAAGATAAAAGAAATTTTTAAAAGGCTAGATATGTAGCTGAGTGCAAAGGCCCTGGGTTCAAGCCCCAGTATACAAAAGAATAAAGGAGAGAGAGACAGAAAGAGAGAGAGAGAGAGAGAGAGAGAGAGAGAGAGAGAGAGAGAGAGAGAGGAGTCATTTGTCTTATAATAATTCATTAAGGCACGCCTTTACTTCTTTACTTTAAGTGTTTCTTTGTATATGGATTTTATTTTACAATGAGAGAGAGGAGGGAGGGAGGGAGCGAGAGAGAGACATGAGAAGCATAACATTAACTGGAGAAATTTTAGTACATGTGCTGCCAAAGTGAGCACAAACTGGAGAAATTTTTATGTTTGCATCTTGTACTCTGAACAACTACTTTAAAGATAACAGCATGCAATATATGAACTCCTGTTATTCTCTTATTATTTTGTTATGAAATTTTGTTTTCCCTTTTTTCCATATAATAAAATTTTTAAAAAGTAGCACAACATCCAGCCATACATGGTGGTACTGGAATCTCAGCACTCTGGAAGACTGAGAGCAGGGAAATCACAAGTTCTAGCCCAGCCTGGGCAACGTGGAAATTTAGCAAGACTGTCACAAAAGAAAATAGAAAATTAGTTGGCGATTTACCTCAGTATAAAGGTTTCAGGTTCAATCCCTGGGAGTGAGATGCAAATATACCCTACTGATCTTGTTGAAATGAATTGAGTATTAGATATTATTGTTAGGGAGTGATAATAGTGATGTTATTATAGAAGAAGACACAGCATCTGTAGACTTGTAGATATGTAGTGAAAAATTTAGGGGTAAGGCTGGGCATATAGCTCAGTGGCAGAAGGTTAAGGTCCTGCCTGACAAGGTTAAGGTCCTGAGTTCAATTCCCAGTACCAAAAAGAATAAAAGAATTTAGGGGTAAGATACATTTTATTTTTTATTTTTTCTCTTAGGGAAGGGTCTACAGGGTGTTCAGGGTCTCACTACTAGATGGGACTCCCAGTGATCCGCCTGTTTACAGCCTCCCAAGAGCTGGGATTACAGGTGAGCACCACCACGCACAGTCTCAATTCCCATCTCAGCGCACCCTGGGGGCGGGGCCCGCAGGGCAGTCCTGGGGATCATACCCTGGCCCCTGTCTGCTTGCAGGCGCTTTAAGCCACTGAACTATTTGGCTGGCCTGTACATCTTAGAATTGCTGTCAAATATTCAAAATAAGTGAGAGGATAGATGGAACAAGTATGGAAAGTTTTTTTTCAGGTTTGTTTGGTTTTTTTTTGTGAGTGTGTGTCTTTTTGAGACAGGGTCTCACTATGCAGTTCAAGCTGGCCTTGAGCTCACTTTGTAGCTCGGGCTGGTCTCACATTTGCAACCATCCTTCTGCCTCAGCCTCCTGAGTGCTGGGATTACAGATATGTGGCACCACACTTGGTTGGGAAAATGTTAATAGCTTTTTCTGTTTGGTGGTTTTTCTTTTTCTTCTCCAATACTAGGGATTGATCAATAGTTGTTGAACATAAACATGAAAATAACGTTCTTGAGTTTTGTATGTTTGGAAAATTTTCTAACAAAAGTTACAGCAGTGGAACAGCCCGAAACCAGGCTGCTTCAGAGCTACAGAGACCTAATTGTAGGTACTCCTTATTCAGAACCCCACAGAACTCCCTTCCCACCAGCCATCTTCCTTAGCTCCCAGGCACTAGTATCTCTGAGTAACCTGTGAGGGAGTGTTCCCTCTTGGTCTCTGTGTCACTTGGACTAGGTGATAGTCACTTTCCCCTTTCTCCATCCCAATGTGCTAATAATCTCGTGAAAGAAAGTCAAAGGGCAGATGGGCTGGGCCAGCCCTGATGACACAGTCCTCGTGGCTCTATAATCCAGCCCTTCAGTAGGTGGAATTGGGGGTGGGACAAAAAGGGAGTGGGCTGGTGCTAACTCCTTATGGTCATATGCATCCACTATTAAGTGCATTCGCAGAAGCTGGTGGCACCTTTCACTGGAAAGTTGCTCTAAGGTCTTTGCCTCCCTCAGGCGCCAGGGCACCATGCCTTACTCTAAGCAGCCTAATAGCTTCCAGATTCTGAGCCTTCTGCAGTGGCCCTTGAGCTACCTTGCCATATGTGAGTACCAACCCAGAAGTGCATAGTGAGGAGCCAGAGTGAAAAACCAGGGCCAGATCTGCAATGATGTTGATGATCGTGGGAAGTGTCACTCGCCTTTTGATTATACGAGATGTACTAGAGTGTAAAGAAAAGGAGTTTCAAGGAAGAGACAGAACCCGGGGCAGAGTAAGGACAGCAGTGTAGCAGGACAGTGTTTTGGTAGAGATGAATAGAACCTCACTATCTAGCCAGGAGTGCTCACTTATCAGGACTAGGACAGAGGAACCATTAGAGTTATAAACTTAGAGACATGTGGCCTGGGTTTGAGCAGTAGAATCTCCACTCTGGGAGGGAAGAGGTGACATGGGGGAGGAAAGGGAGGCAGTGGAAGGAGTTGTGAATGGCCAAAGGGAAAAGAACGATGGGTGGGAAACAGTGGACGGATGCGGATGTAGGGTGGGCAAGGTGTAGGGAGACCTGGGCAGCGTCAGTGCAAGGGAGGGAGGGCTGGTAACTTAACAAGGGCTTTGGGGTGATGGAACAGGAGTAAAACAGGAGGCGAGAAGAAAAGGATGGCACCAAATGAGGGAAGGGGAAAGCAGGCACAATGAAGAGAGCAGGACTACTAGGATGGCACCTGGCCGAGGCAGAGAGCCAGGGATGGCAGGTAGGAGGAGAAATGGCACTCGCATGTGGTAGGTAAGGGGAGAAAGTTTGGAAGGCTAAGTAGGCATGTGTGGTGGATGAGCAGGACTTGGACTGTGCAGAAGGCCAGGGCAGAGTGGAGAGCTAACTGGCAATGAGACTGGATAGAGTCAAGTTCCGCTGGAAGCTCAAAGCTGATCTGACCTCACCTTTCATCAGTTTGGGTCTTGCAGCCGTTGTTTATTTTGCTGCTGTTTACACCCTTGTGGCCACTACCTGCACTTTACTTCATCTGGTTATTCTTGGACTGGAAGACTCCAGAGAAAGGTAAGACTCATGGACCCAGAAAAAGAATGCTCCGCCTTCACCTGCAGGCCTGCCTGGTGAGTCCTACTTGCTAGGCCACAGGGCTTGCCTCTATGTGCTCAGGCCCATAGCAAGCAGTCCGGCTGAGACCATCCTGGGGCTTCTTCCTTTCTTACCTCACTGGCAGAGTGAAGGTCCCTCCAAACTGAGAGGGAAGCTCTTGGTAAGTGACAGAGTAGCACATGCTGACTCACCTTCCTCTGGTGTTTTTGTCTCAGGTGGCAGGCGTTCAGCCTGGGTAAGGAATTGGTATATCTGGACTCACATCAGGGACTATTTCCCCATAATGGTAAGAGGCTCTTTCATTTGTAATTTATTCCTCCTAGATCCCTAAATGCTAGACATTTATACCAAATATGTAGGATTGTTCATAAGGAAGATGAACATCTCAGAGACAGTCTCAGTGCAGGCAAGAAGACTCCAGGGCCCCCCATACTCTGCTAAGATACTTGAGTACCCTTGGCATGACTTGCCCCCCCAAAAAATATATATATATAGTGATAGCTAAGTGGAGTTTTCAAGGTTCAAAAAAAGTGAGCTACTAGTTTGTGGGCACTGAAAAGGAATTTAGAGAAGACAATACCAGGATGATGTTCTGGAAATATATTGCTTTGCTGACCCCTCTGGGCACTTTGGAGTAGACAAAAGACACTGCCCTGATTCCTAGAGCAAAATTTACTGGGCTTTGTCACATAAAAGCGCTCAAAAAAAATACAAAGTCATGTGCATAAAGCACACTGAAACAAAGGACCAAGACTACTTGAAGCTACAGTCAAGTGGCCAGACAATTGTAGCTGGCCCAGTTCCTGCCTTGTTACTGCAGGGCTGAGGAGACCTATCTGTTGGCCTCCTGCAAACTGGGATTACTCTGTTTTGTTAGAAATCTTTGTTTCAGAAAGTACCCTTGGGCCAGACAGATAGCTCAGCAGACTAAAGCTCCTGCTTAGGCAAAGCACAGCGCCCGGAGTTTGATCCCCAGCATGCTGTGCCAGCCCTGCCCCCAGGGCGCACTGAGACAGTGATTGAGACTGGGCATGGTGGCACAGGCCTCTAATCCCAGTGCTTGGGAGGCTGAATACAGAAGAATCACTATGAGTCAGATCTATGTAGTGAGACCATGTAGACCTTGTTCTAAATACAAAAAAAAGTACCCCAACCCCTGAAGGATCTTCACATAGTTCATTTTGTCCCCTCTGACATTTCTCTCCATGGATGTAGATTCTGAAGACTGAAGACCTATCACCTGAGCGCAACTATATCATGGGGGTTCACCCTCATGGCCTCCTGACCTTTGGCGCCTTCTGCAACTTCTGCACTGAGGCCACAGGCTTCTCAAAGACCTTCCCAGGCATCACTCCTCATTTGGCCACCTTGTCTTGGTTCTTCAAGATCCCTCTTATTAGGGACTACCTCATGGCCAAAGGTGTGTCTGAACACACTGGACTCTGATCCATTTCTCTCCTTGGAAACATAGCTTTTTAAGTTTCTCACTATCACAATGTACTTGTTCAGAGTATGTGAACTGGAGCTAAAATGCTTGGGCCTGGACATTGGTTCTTGCCCCTTGCTGTGTGACCGGTCTTAGGCAAATTAGCTAACCTCTATGTGCCTCAGTTTGCTCATTTATGAAGTGATTCTGGTGGTAATGGTCTTACCTCAGATGTGGTATAATGAGGTAATATAAGTAAAGCATTTGACATTAACAGCTGGCACAGGCCCTATGCTCAATAAGTAGTAGTTATTGTTTCTAATGGAAAGAGAAAGCAGAATTCTAGTTGAAATTCAGCAGGTCCACCTGGTTATCACCCTGAAAACCTTCCTGCTGTAGTTTCCATTTGGTGCCATCTGCAAAGTGTAGTGTCAAAGTAAAGTGTGTTCTGTTTGTCTGTAGCCATCTCGTCACATTCTTTAGTCCCAACTGGCTGAGCCTCTTCTGCTAGGACTCAAGGACACTAAGAAGCCAGTATGTTCCCTCTCTGCTCTTTTGTCTTCTCCTGATCTGTTTGTTCCTCTCTTCCCCTCGATTCTCACCAGGTGTGTGCTCTGTGAGCCAGCCAGCCATCAACTACCTGCTGAGCCATGGCACTGGCAACCTCGTGGGCATCGTAGTGGGAGGAGTGGGAGAGGCGCTGCAGAGTGTGCCCAATACCACCACGCTCATCCTCCAGAAGCGCAAGGGGTTTGTGCGCACTGCCCTCCAGCACGGGTAGGTACCCCCTGGGGAGGAGGTAGAGGTGACCTTTTCGGAGTAGTTTCAGCCTGTAGGTGATGTCAAGTCTCACACAGATGTTTCGTCAAGAAACTTTTGAATGAGTAGAAGAGATGAGCAAGAATCAAAGTTTTTCATGTCATCACTGCTTCTGAGTTTCCAGGAAGCCAAACCATAAACTCAGGTACCATGCCAGGGTGGCTGGGCTAAGGCTGCCTTAGCAGATCATGACTGATAGAGATAATCTATGTCAGTCCATTAATGATAGGTTCAAGAGGAACTACAGTATGGTTTAGAGAGTTTGTGTGGGAGGCAGATTAGGGGTCCTAATTTAAAATCCTGGTCCATGGGCTGGGAATGAAGCTCAGCATAAAGTGATGGCCAGGCATGCACATAGCCCTGAGTTCAATCTTTAGCACCATATACAATATACACGAAACAATAACACATACAATCAATAAAATCCTGGCTCATAATGTGCCATGCATTCTGGAACAGGTTACTTAAACATTCTGAGCCTTGCTGTTTTCATCTTCATAATGTTGCTATTAATCATTGTACCTGTTTCTTAGAGTAACTGTGGGCTTTGAGTAAATGTATCCATATCAAACCCCACCATGTGCCTTCCACACTGTAAGTAATCAATACATTTAGGCATTCTGACTTAGGGGTAAAGAGGAACCTGAGGCTAGAGCTAAAGGATTCCCTATCAAGTCAGCATTTAGCCCATATGATGCAGGGACAATTGTTGCACACTCACAGCAGAGGGGACTCCATCTTTTAAGGACCTTGCCTGATGGGCCGAGGAGATAGCTCAGCAGCCTATGTGCTTGCAAGCGCAAGGACCTAAGTTTGATCCCTGGTACCAGAAAAAAAAAAATCTTTCACATAAGGACCTTGCCTGAGAGGCCTGCCTGAGTAAGGAGTATAAGGTAAGCAAGAGAGCTTTAAACAGGAAGGAGAGGCTTCTGTGTTCTAGTCCTGGTCCTTCTTGAGAGTCTGAGTGGCCTTCTCCCTTCTGAATCTGGGTTCTAGGTTCCCCACTGCGTCTTCCACTATCTTTGTTGTAAGGATGTAGTAAGGTAAGATATGTTGAAGTGCTGAGAGATGGATATTAGAAACTGGTAAAGATTTGCATGAAAGAAACTATTCTCTTTACTCTTCTTCATTTAAGGAAACTAACTACTCTGATTCTCTGCTTAGGGCACTATTTGGGGTAGGACCTCATGGTCTCTAGGTGATAACTTTTCTCTGCTCTAATCCTATCACCTATGAACAGCCTTCTTGATGGAGGGCTGTATTACATATGCACATCCTTGCAAAGTTACCCTCCTCTTCTCTGTGCATTAACCAATAGAAACAGTCATGTGTTCCCTTCCTTGATGTCTGGAAGCTTTTCATGCTGTGGATCTCTGGTCAGCCCTCTAGCAGAGTCCAAATCCTCTTCCCTCCCTGTGGCCCACTGAAAGATGACCCAGAGATAACACTCTCACTGCCCTGGAAAATAGCAGGGCAAGGGTCTCTAGCTATCTGACATTCCTGTTTAGGACAAGAAGCAATGCTTTGGGTCATTGGTAGTTTATCATAATACCATAGATGTGGGCCTGGAAGTGAGTAAATATTCTTCGAGAGTGGTTCCCATTCTAGCACGTGTTAGAAAAATAAATTGGAGTTCTTCTACAGGGCTCATCTGGTCCCCACATTCACTTTTGGGGAAACTGAGGTGTATGACCAGGTGGTATTCAACGAGAGCAGCAGGATGTACAAGTTCCAGGCCTTCTTCCGCCGAATCTTCGGTTTCTATTTTTGTGTCTTCTACGGACAAGGCTTTCACCAAGGCTCCCTTGGTATCTTGCCATATAGCCGGCCTATTGTCACTGTGGGTAAGTGTTGCTCTTGATCCCTGAGGCCACCTCAGCTCTTTCTTTACCTCTATCACAGCACACCTTGTCCTGCCCCATAAAAGAAGAAGGCAGTGGACGGGAAGAAACTGGGAGCTAACTGGGGCTGCCAGAGGGTTGGGCACAGGAAAAAGAGGAAGCTAAAGGAAGGAGAGATTCTAGCACTTTCACTCTTTTCTTTTCCCCCTCTCTTGGCAGTTGGGGAGCCTTTGCCACTGCCCAAAATGGAAAAACCAAGCCAGGAGATGGTGGACCAATACCACGCACTGTATATGGACGCCCTGAGAAAACTCTTTGATAAGCATAAGACCAATTATGGCTGCTCAGCCAGCCAGAAGCTTCTTTTCTTGTGACTGAAGAGACTACATGTATGCCTGTGGGCATTGGAGCCCCTGCCATGGAGAGGAGATTCATTTGCTGCTAACCCAAGAAAATCCTGGAAAGAGAAGCAAGACTAGAGAGGCTGTGTGTGGTGGGGGACGACATTAAGAGTTCCTGCCTTGCCACACTGAAGCCCTCCAAAGAGTTATCCTGAGAACTGGCAGAGGGGAGCGTCCTAAGACATCTCTTGTCCTGATACCCCCTGGCTTTCCTCTTTGAGCCTGAAACCCAAGGTCCTGAAGGACTCAAATGATAGCCAAGCAGCCCCTACCCAACTTTTCAAAAATTGTAATACAAGTTTAAATAGATATATAATCTTTGTATCACACATCTCACCCATTTAAAGTGTAAAATTCAGTAGTGTTTAGTATATTCACAGGACTGTGTAGCTACCACCATTTAGTTTTAGAATGTGTTTCAGCACCCACAGTGAACCTACTACCCATTAGAAGTCTCTGTTCACTCCTCCAGGCTCTGGAAGCAACTAATCTACTTGATATCTATGGATTTACCTATTACTGACATTTCATATAAATATAGTCAGTAGTCTTTTGTGATTGGCTTCTTCCTCTTAGCATGTTTTCAAGTTCCACCCATATTGTAGCATGTGTCAGTGTTTCATTTCTTTTTTTTTCTCAAAGTTTTATTGATAAACAGATAGCAATGGGACAGTTTCAAATCCAATCGGAAGTTCAGTTTCAACAAATAATACACTGCATATATTCTTCTTGGTGGTTAATTGCTGTACAAGAAGTGGACTTGTGATCCTATTTACAAACACCATTAGAACAAATCATTCTATTCATTAAGAGAATGCAACTATATATCTATCCCAACCACTTTG